AGATACACAGTAGTAACTCCGCCTTGTTCAACTGAACATGCCGGTCCCCAGCCCGGATAAAGGAGGAGGGCTACTGCAGTGTTTCAAGATCACCAATTCATAAACTCTTCGTTTTCCGACCAATTTATTATACAAGGTACAGTAACTTATATTTTATCAAGACCATGTTTACTGTATTTTCTCCAAGACCAACAATGTAGTATTTTAGCTTTTTATAGATAGGTAGTATTGAAGAAATGAGATACAGTACTTACATTGATACTCACTACCACTTGATATGATCATGTTCATATTTGTAGATGGAATTCTCAAAAAATCAAAGGAATTGTATATTTAAAGTATTTTTTATTTTCATTTGTATTATACACACACACACACACACATATATATATATATATATATATATATATATATATATATATATATATATATATATATATATATATATATATATATATATATATATATATATACGTTAAAGTATGAAATAACAGCCTAGAAATTTGATACAAGATTTACAAAAGTGAGTGAGCGAGCAGGCAGGTGGGAGGGAGTGAGCGGGTGTGATATTTGCTCGGTTTACACCGTTCAACAACCTTCTCACATCTGTCCCAGGCTGGAGTTTGGGCCCAGGACAGTGTTGAGAGACTCTACCACTGTACTACCAACACCCACTATACTTTAGTGGGAGTTGGGAGTGGGGGCAAGTAGGTGGGGGCAGGTAGGTGGGGGTGTGATATTTGCTAGGTTTACACCTTTCAACACCCTTCTCACATCTGTCCCAGGCTGGAGTTTGGGCCCAGGACAGGGTTGAGAGAGAGCCTACCACTGTACCACCAACACTCACTATACTTTAGGTCAAATTTTTTCATTTCAAAACCTTACAATTTTAAACATTATAGTTGGATTTCAAGGTCTTCAACTTCACATTTTGTTGCGCAGTTAATTTATAATTTGATCTATAATTAACAAGGATTGTTTTCTAAATTTTTAGGCAAAACCGACTTCCAACAATTGGTGTGGTGTCCAGATTGTCATCATTCAGTAAAATCCCTACTGTACTTTACTATGTATACATTACGTTCAAAATAAGTATGTACACAATCAAAACCTTATCTTCACGGACAGGGCCTATAAATTTAAAAATAAACACTGACACCTGTTGTCTCGGGGAGGTTTTCAAAATCCTTCGCCCGAGGTGTCAGTCTAACACCATAAAGATGCATTTTTGATGATGTACATCTTGTGATAGCTACACTAAATTGAGATATTACAATGCTATCTGTAGGTACAGTTCTGTTCTTTAGTTTTGATTATGCATGCCCAATAGGTCATCACATGGGCATTAGTTTGTAACAGTTCTACTTTGGTTGGCACTTGAAAGTCAATTAGTGATAAGTATGCATGGGCTATCATGTTGACATCAATAGGAGCCATATACAGTTCATGTTACCTTCATGTTTCAAGTTCAGTTTACAAGATTATTATTATTCTACTTTTCCAAAATTGGAGTATAAAAGAGGTCAAATTTATTCATTGTTTATTTGATTATGTACAGATATTGTATAATGAGAGCCAACTCATCATAATCTCAATACAAGTGCCAACCATTACATAATATATCTAACTTTTTCTTAAACTGTGTGGCTTGACTCGAGGACATCGGATATATTTCCGTTCTCCCTCGAGGGTCCCTACTCAAGATCACTCCCACTCTCACATCAATCGGACGTATTTTAGAAGAGCTACTTTAAGACAGCCTCCATCCTCATTTAACACTCATAGCGACAGTGATAATCCTTTTTGAAAGTGTATATAGAAATCTTTGATAATAAATACACAAAAGAAACCTATTGGATTAAGTTACTGAAGACCCAATAAACTTTGATCTATATTTTAGTGCGTCTAGAATATAAGGTAATATGTGCTAAGGCTA